GTGGGGGGGGGGGGGGGGGGGGGGGAATCCCTGCAGGGACCAGTGACTGACAGTCACTTCTCTCTACAGGGAGACGATCAGAAAGTGAGCGAGCGACGGTATGCGTTCATTCACTTCCCGATCTATTGAGCCGACGTGTGACAGTTTCATTGTCACACGCCGGCTCAAACTATGAGGTTGATTGAAAATCATTCACCTCATAGTTCTCCTTTAACCTCCTTGGCGGTATTCCCGAGTGTGGCTCGGGGTTAATTTTCAGTACCATAAGCGGTAACCCCGAGCCACACTCGGGATTACACAGCGCCACACTTACATTGTCTACAATCCCCGCTGTGTCCTCCGGCCGATGCCGGCATCAGTCTTCCGGGTTCCATCCCTTGGCACCAAATTTAAACGTTAAAAAAAAGACCAAAAATGGGAAAAAATCAGACCGCTAGGGAGGTTAATATTTTCTGTTTGTCAGTGTCCAAACTACCTGAAGGAGGCAGTATAACCCTAACAACTGTTGCATTCCTGTGTCTCTCAATGGACAGTAAATATTATTTTTCCATTGTCCATTGTGTTGTTTTAGTCTGGGGACTGAGGTTGATGTCCTATACACTTTATACTAAACTGGTATATGAAAGTTTTGCTTAATACATAATATGAACTAAATATTATGATATATGCATCTATTGTTTAAGTAATTTCATGCTGTTTACACTGTGCTAAGATTTTATTAATCATAGCATACTGATCATTGTATATAAATGTTGAATATTTCTCAATTCTTTAATCAGCCTTTTTGTCCACTTACTAGTGTCCTGGCTGTTTCTATCACATCATCTATTTTTATTTTTTTAACATTTAATTTTTTCTATATCAGTTTACTAAAGTGCATTTCCACCTTTACATTAATGAGAGCCAATTCGTATCCCAGTTTTCTGAAACTTTTTTGAACAAATGTTAGCCATATATCTTTTGACATTTACACTCTACACTGCCTACTAGTAGGCAATTTCAAAATCATGCCACCACACACAGTGTCCTTTTGGTTTGCTCAAAGGACACTGACTTCCAAACGGCTGACATTGATTCATGTTTTTTAATGCAAGTAGCCTACTAAATTCTGCCCCCCTCAAAAGTCCAGTCAAACTATGACTTGTTACATCCTAATAACCTAATAACTCCAGTCATAGAACTAGATACAACTAGAGAAAGAGGTGATTAGAGGGTAACACGTTTTAAATACTGGTTAGGAAAGGCAAGATAAAGGTAAATGTATATCTGAGGATGAAAAATAGACAAAAGATGGAAATATCTAAGATTGTGCTATGTTTTCCGAGAGGTAGTTTTCAGTGATGATTATGCCTTGGTAAAACATATTTGAAGTATTCAAATTGTCTTCTTAGGGAGAAGCTTTTGAAGAGGATACAAGAATGTGTCTACCTGAATGAGCAGTATCAGGCTTCTTTTCATAAGGTTAAAGAGAGACTTAAAGAAACCCCAAATGAAAGGCAGTTTGAGTTCAGGTAAGTCTATCTTTATGTCTGTGTGCTTATCTGTCTATTCCTTTTTTTTAAACTGTAAATCATGGGGGGGGGGGGGGGGGGGTTGCCCAGGACGGGACAGT